AATTCACGAAAAAAATTACCAACAACCACTAAACCGAAAAAGGTGGCTAGCTAGGATGCTACTTGCCTCTCATACCTCACTTTGCGATTTTTATGATGCATTCCATGATTTAATTGACTGACTTATGCTTGAGAAGAAAAGTTGGGTTTCGAGGACTCTCTTGTTCCATAATTGTTGAGCTTATTTCCATTTTGAGTGAATGTTAGGTGAAGAGATTTATAAGTCGGTTCCACCAGAAGACGACGGCGGATTCCTCTTGACCACCAGCCGATTAGCTTTGTTGAAACATTCATGCTGACGTTGTTTTCGAGGTAATATCCTTCGCTTATAGTGAAAAGGTGCTAAGCTATCGTCCATTATATGAAGAACATCATCAGAGCAAGGTATCATCGTCACAACCAAATCCAAGCTGAGTCAAGGAAAATCACCGTCAAATCCCTAAAAAGTGATATATTTATTATATATCTAGCCTCTTTAATCAGGTATAAAGTTAGTTAGTTAGCTACGAACATATGTCAACCTCGAAACTTATGAACGAGGTTTGTGTTTGCTTATGCATGAAAGCCTCACTGATGGCTCAAAGTAATTGGGACAGCAAACTAACGTCTGTTCTCGGTCATCAAGTTTTGATGACCACTATCTCCCTCTTTTTACATACATTTTATAACCAACACAAGGATTGCGCAAGGTCGGACACATGTCTGATTTTGGTGATGAGCCTATTTTTTGTTTTTGGTCTCAATGCTAGAGAAAAAGAATAAGCTAAAAATACAGATAAGTGACTATGATTAGAACCAAGACAAGAAGAGACTAGTTGTGTCACCTCCTTTTTGCAGGCGGCTCAACAACCTCTATATCCTAGAGTCTATTAATTAAGCACAAGTAATTTTTACTTCTCTTTTTGCCAATATTGCTTACATTTAAACTATTACATATTCGGTTTACTTTGATGGCTTCTCTAATCTTACGTTTAGCCAAATACATGCCATAATCAGCAAAACGAGAAGCTTGATAGCATTCAATCTTGTGTCTCCTTTCTGCCCTGTGATCGGCCAGGGCATAAAGGCAGAGACAAAATATGAGAAAAAGTTGCCTAATATCTCATTACGTATTCCTCATTCAAAAAATTATTATTTATTAATATAATGTTATTTTACTCAAACCCAGAGGATAATTATTCGCAAGAAATATTATTTCAAGCTGATCCAGTTCATTATCACAATGACATCTAGCGGCTAGTCTTATCTACCGAATTATCATATATTTTGAATCTCCAACCTTTTTTTGCAATAGTGACTAGAAAGGAAATTAAGGATAATGACAGCCTGCGTTGTCTTTCACTATATATCCCTCCTTAAATGTACTACAACATCTAAAAAGGGTAAATTATTGTACTTATCCATCTCCATTACCAACTTAACATTGCAGTCAATCTAGTTTATTTAAAACAATAAATTATCTGAACTATCCTTGCAACGCTGCCATATTGCCAAGTAGTCATCCTTATATCTAAGTAGCAGTTTGGGTGTCAATCTTACCTCTTCCATGTAGTGTTCCTCCATTCTTGACATGTAATTATTAGCTAAAATGCGAACCAACAAGATCCCATTGCTAGACTTTGCCCCTGTTCATAAACCTTAGCAATAAACGTAAAGAATGTGCTGCTCATGGATAGATTAAGAGGCGTTAAGATTTAGATTTTTCTCATATTTGCTTCCTCAGTAATTTCTGGTTGCCCATCTAGGCTGAGTGTGAGTGCTTCAACAGCTTACTGAACTAAGATGTTAGTATGCCTTGATACCACATCAGAACTAACCAAAAGATCATGCTGTTTAATACTCTGTTGATCTATTAGTCTATCAAATTCATATGAATTTTTCATTAAATATTTCGAATACTCAACTACTTTCCTTAATTGTCTGTATAAGAAACATGTAAGCTTCTGCATCACATTACCCTTATTATTAACAATCACCCTTGCTCTGATGAAGTTCGTCATATGACGGACAAAGGCGTATACCTTTTTGCCAGGATCGAGAGAGATTATTTAGGAAATAGCGTCAACATAGATGTTCTAGTATGGCCAATCGACAACTGGTCAAGAGGAATTCGCCGTCGTCTTCTGGTGAAATCAACCTTCAAATCTCTTTACTAAACTCATTTAATCAAAATTAAATTAAACTCAACAATTATGAGATAAGCGCTTCCTCGAAATCCAACTTTTCTACGCATATTATTCTTCTTGATTGGACAATGATGGAATCCATTAGACTTTGAAGATATATGGGCAGGATTTCATCAAGAATCAGCAACATTAAGTATAATAATGAAAAAATATTACTTATCCGTACTCTAATATTTAAAAAAAGTCTATACGGGCATATTAAGCTCGATCATTTCAGTGCAAAATACAAAAATATTACGGTTAATCTTATCAACTATAAGAATAATGTATTTATAAATAATCACTAAAAATAACCCTACCAAAAAATAATTAATGTCAAAAATAACCAAAATTATAGAATATTGATAATAATTTATTTATATACATATAACTAATTAAAAATTGTTTGTTGGTTTCTCTTTGCTAATTTTGTTTGTAATGTCCTTGAGCTTATTTGATTGATCGTTTGCCCCTTTGCTATTTACATTCATTTAGTTTTATAATGCAATTTTACAAAGTCGGAGAAGTGCGACCGCCCCTGCTCTCAGATTTTGAGTATTTTACTCAGTTAGTCAACTCTGAAGACGGTGGATGGAAGCAACATTACAACAAGCATCACACAGTTGTTTCTTCGAGATGCCAGAACAATTCTGAAATTAAGCTCATTAGAGTATTTTTAAGATTTTATTATTTATCTTAGCTAAAATGCGTCCTATCAGATGTTTCTGCTTCCGTTCTTTACGACGTCATTCATGATCCAAAGTACAGAAGCGACTGGGATAAAATAATGATTGAAGGATATTCAATTGGCCAGGTTTCTCCAGATAGCGATATTGGATACTATTCACGTATATTCATATATATATCTTACTATTTTTAGTTAAAGCTCCTCTTGCATTTGCAAACCGTGATTACGTTACCCAACGGGCTTGGGTAGCTGCCCAGGATGTTTACATAATCTTCAATCATTCTGTGTTTCATAAGGATATTCCTCCAAAAAAATCATTTGTTCGAGGCATATCTTATATTACGGGCTACTTCATACGAGCAATTGATTCTAGCAGCTGCGAGATGATTTATATTACTCAGAACGACCCAAGAGGTATGATTTTTTCGTATTTGCCTGACTAATTTGTTAACGAGTTTATGATATATAACAGTTTACTGCAAAGGTTCCTTAATTAAATGCTATTTTTATAGTATTACTACATTAGCCCATGTTTTCACAGAAACATTTTTTGTAAGTTATTTTATTAGAAACATTTTCTTAAATTATTGTTTATTTATTTTGACAATTCTTGATAATATGTTATTTTATCGAAGTCCGCGTGTAAATTTTAGTTTTATGATATCGATAAAATATTCGCCTTTAAGAAATTGGCTGAAATTTATTCAACAATCTTGGTGTCAATTAACTCATATGGTTTCTGATCATTTTATTTATCAATGGAGTTTTTATAATACATGACCTTAGCTATTTCATTATCATTGCCATTCAAAAATAGGGACTATAACTATCCATGCACTCAGAGGTAACTGCATTTTGAGTTCTTCAATCAGCAAGTTTTAAATAATAAACCAAGATATTACACTTTTACTGTGATAGTCTGGGATCAAGGAATAAAAATAGCGATAAACAATACAGCCAACTATAGATGCATTGCATGATGATAGTAAATACCCATAAACGTTTTTACTGATTTATCGTTTGAATCAAGACCCATTATTTAAGTTATTAATCTATTTCAAAGGCGACAATCTTTCATACTTTACAGAACTGTTATCCAACTTATTTATTGTGTAACCTTTTT